ACCTCCTGAATGCCACTTGCGTGCCTTACCAACTGAGCTAGGCCACTGGATGACTCCTTACTCTCAAAACATGGACGTGATTCTTTCAGAGTAGTGGAGGTACACCCACAGGCTACTTCATCATTCTTTTAAAACTGAAATTGGAACGGAGGGTCGAGGAGAATCGCCCAGTTGGCCAAAAAAAAAAAAAAAAAAAGGAATCTCCCAGTAGGAGCACCAGTGGTTGGACATGAGAACAGCGAGTAGTTCTCTACGGATGGACAGACCCCCCTTCAATTTTCCTGTGATTATTATTAGAGTCAGTGGACTCTCCTGTGATTATTAGAGCCAGTGGAGATCAGTGAGTACTTCTCTACGGATGTTTAGACCCCCCTAAAAAGTAGTAAAAACTGGTTGGACATGAGAACAGCATCATTCGCTGTTAAGAAAAAACAAAAAAAAAAAAAAAAAAAAAAAAAAAAGAAGCATCATTCGCTGTTTATTTTGTCAATTTCCGTACGTCATCATTATTATTATGCAGGGGTCATGCTGACCTGGTCCGTGTCGTTCCGCTTTTTTCTACAGGTGTGTTTTATTGTTTCATTTTTTTTTATTTTTTTATTTTTCCTTTGTTCCTTTCTGTTGTTTTTTTTTTGTTTTTTCTTTTTTCGGTCTTATATTTGTTGCTTCAGGACCTTCAGGGGTATCACAGGACACAACCAACGGCCCGAGCTCAATTATTATTACACCTATGAATTGTGGAGATCCAGACCAGAGTTCGAAACCAGCTGAAATCGGATGGACACAGGCCACGGGAGTGCTTAGGCATGCAAGGGCAATCTTTCGAAGCTGAGCTCTCTTGGGACCCACCCACCCAGACTGCAACTGAGCATATCTTGGGGGCCCAAGTGACTAAGCAGGGAGTCTTAGGGGGTCTGGAAATATATAGTGGTGTCAAATGCTTCTTTGTCAAGCACTGGCAGAAAGCAGCATCTCTCACCTTTCTTTTTTCCCTTTTCTTTTTTTTTTTCTTTTTTTTTTCATTTCTCACCTTCGTGCAGTCTTGAACGGCCTTTTTATAGCTCCCAATCCCATTGTAACATGCGGCACGCTTCAGTAAAATGTCGGCAGTCCCGAAAAACTCAACGCCCATCGGTCCGCGCCTGTCCGCTAGCATCAGTACCCATGTGAAGTACTTAAGCGCTTCTGCAAAGTTTCCGCGCCTGAAGAACTCCTCTCCTCGCCTCTTCGCTGCTGGAAGGGACAAGCCAGAAGGGGGTTGCATTACGCCATCAGGATCCTCCTCCTCCTCCACTGGATTCGCAGCGGAAGATGTACCTGCCATGTTGCCTCCAGCCCTATTAGTCGCAGGATCCGACGATGACATCCCAGTAGTGCCGTACTCTTCTCCTGTAGCAGTTGTTGTTGTATTGGGTGGGGGGGGACCACCAGAGCTGAACCCACTGCTAAACATGTTTAGGAAGGGATCGGAGTGCTGCTGCTGCGCGGAAGGCGCTGCCTCCTTCACATCCGGATGGTTAACCGGCGAGGGGGCATCGAATATCCAATCGGCACCCATAAAAGGGTCGGCAGATGCGGATGGTGCTGGATGGTGCTGTGTTGTTGTGTGTGTTGGCTGCTCTTGCCCCTCGGCACTCCACACAAACCCAAACAGATCATCTATGGACGTGGGGACAGGGGCAGCAGATTCTGTCTTTCGTGGTCCTGCATCTGTCGGCCGTTGAGATGTAGGGTCCGGATCTCTCTTCTCTGCTTGCTTCCCCTTTCCACCTAACATGAAGCCGAACGGATCGAGAGCATCCTCACCCATTGCTTCTGATTCTCCGGTCTGTCCAACGGAAGACTGTGCTGGTGCTGACATTGGCGGGGAATCGAAGAAAGGGTCGCTAGAGCGATCGCAGTCTCTGTCAGCTCCTGACTGCCCCTTCTGCGCGGGCCTATCAGATGCTGCTGCAAAAGATTGTTGTGGTGACGACCTTGACCCGGCTGGCTCCTCCGGTGACTCTGCCCATTGATGACTTGCGCCGAGGAAATCAAAAGGGTCGACCGTCCTGTCTCTTAGGCTGGAGCCTGCAAGGCCTTGCTGTTCTCTATTATTAGACAGGAAATCAAATGGATCTGCAGTCGTGTTCTTCTGTGTCGCACCATCCGGTGGGAGGTTGTCACTACTAGTGGTTCCTTGACTCTTTCTCGCGTCAACCGGTGAAGAATTTCCCGGCCCTGACACCCTGCCCCGACTCTTAGGACCGTCAGTACCATAACCGAAGCCAGAAGGACCACTGTCTGCCCCAAAACCATCATCCTCGATATCGCCAGCCATCGGCTGTGCGGAATGCTGTTTCTCAACTCTGCTCCGACCACCAGAACCTCTAAGACCAAAATTGAAACCAAACCCAAAAGGATCATTGTCGGCCTCGGCATCAGGCTCTTGACCAACTCTCTCCATTGGTTGGTGAGCTTGGTTCTCATCCGTTCGCGATGAACTGCTGGAAGCTTTTCCTCCGATCGAATCCTCATGGTGCGCAGAACTTGGACCATTCTTGGGCTCCCTGATGCATGGCGCATCCCAACTCATCAAATCGTCAATGATGGGCCCATCGCTTTCTCGCGCGCGCGATTCGTTCCTCTGACTCCCTGAGCCAAAGAAAGCGAGAGGATCATCTCTATCCAAACCAATACCATCGTCCTCGACGAAATGCTCCTCAGGAGGAGGACCTGAATCTGCTGATTTGAAAGGAGGAAGAGGATCTTCTTTGCCTGGACTGGACTGGGTCTGCTTCATTCCGCCATCACCACCCTCGTCTTCATCCTCTCCTAAGATGGGGCTGCTTTTGGTTGCTGATGGTGATACCTGCGGGTGCTCGGTGCCCAACCCCATGAAATCAAAAGGATCACTAGGGCGTGAGGAGGCTTCCCCAGCAACATTGCCTTTCTCTCGATTCCTTTGTAAGACAGGACTGCTTTCGGCTGATGATACCTGTGGGCCTTCAGCGGCCAACCCCAGAAAATCAAAAGGATCAGCATGGCGTGAGAAGTTTTCTCCAGCCCGTGGGCTTGCCCCAAGGTCAGCTGACACAGAGGCAGAAAAGGGGTCGCTGCCTTGACCCTGCTGCTGCTGCTGCTGCTGCTGTGCAGAGTTTTCCCGAACAGCATCGCCTTCTTCTTCGCTTCTTTGTGAGACGAGACTGCTTTTGGCTGACGATACCTGTGGGAGTTCGGCAGCCAACCCCAGAAAATCAAAAGGATCGGCATGGTGTGAGGAGTGTTCTCCAGCATGTGGGCTTGCCCCAAGACCTGCTGACAAAGAAGCAGAAAAGGGGTCACTGCCTTGACCCCCCTGCTGCTGCCGTGATGACATCCCAGCCTGGCACCCTGGAGACTCTGCAAGGGGTGATGAGCGATCCTGGGGTGTGCTGGGAAAACCAAACAGATCATCATCACAACATCTATCTTCCTGAGCTTCGTCTCTTGAAGCTGGAGCAGCACCAAAAGAATCTGGTATGCTCATCCCGCTGACCTTCGAACGGACATCTGGACCACCTTCTGCTCCCATGGTGCTAACATTCGGCGATGAGCGTTCACCTGCAGGGGCAGCAGCATGCTCCATGGACCGCATCTCAGCTATGGCCGGCTCACCAGCTGACACGTCTGCGGACTTCCTGGCAGGCCCTACACCCAGGAAATCTAGCGGATCATATGTAAGGCCCAAATCCCCGCGATTTTTGGATAGCTGAGGGGGTATTACATCTTCTTCAGCAACAAATGCGAAAGGCTCTGTGGCAATGTCCGCCTCCTTCGCTGGGGACGCACAGTTCCCTGCACTGGACAAGTTATAAGACCAATCGCCAAAACCATCATTGTCGGTTTCTTCCACCGTTCCACAGGAAGCTAACGAATCCGAGGTAGCGGTTTTCCGCGAGCCTCCATGTACATTCTGTGAGAAAGAAGCTGGCATAGTAGCAGCCTTGACGCCAAAGAAGTCGAGGGGATCATCATTGAAGACATGTTTGGATTCTGATTTGTTGTCAATCGAAGACGTTGAGGCATCCTGCAGCATGAAGCCGAACGGGTCGGAGCTTTGGCGTGACGGCGGTTCCTCGGTGATCGATGAGTCAGCCTCCCGCACACCAAGGGAGACGCCGGCGTCTTTCACCCAAGCACCATGACCTCCTCCTACTGTGGAAGACCTTTCAACATCTCCCACAAGTGTTTCCCTCTGTGCATTGCCCAGTCCAGTAGCAGAAGCACACGGCGTGTCCTCATCATCCGCAGAGGGCTTGACGCCCAGAATGTCAAATGGATCTTCCTTGCCGACAGAATCATAGGAACAAGGAGTATCAGGTAAAGTTGGCGACAAGTTCTCTGATGCCGATCTAAAAGGAGCGGCACTGTCCTCTGCGCCCCGGACAGTTTTTTCTTTGCTATCAGCAGTTGAAGGACCACATCTTCCATTCACGTTCGCATGCCTGCCAATAGAATCTACGGCACCCTCCGTCGTTGACGCATGAGGCTTCTTGATATCGTCATCCATCACTGCATCTGAGAAGCCAGGAACCATGGGATGAGCTGAGGAGCGTGCACCGACGAGGCCAAACGGATCGTCATCGACAACAGCATCACCTGCCCACATTTCATTCGCTGAACAAGGTGAAATATCTTCTGAAATGAAGGCAAATGGGTCCACCCCTTCGAGTACCGGGGGCTGGCATACTGGCTGCTGCTCCTCCGAGGCTGAAGAACTTTCTTTCAAGTCCACATCCCGGTCAACTGAAACTCCTCCTACATCTTCTGAGATCATTCTGTCTGTCTGAGAAGAAGACTTATAACCCTCCATTCCTATCATCTCTTCGATCCTATTGATTGCGATACCTGAAGGACCAGAAACCTCCAAATTATCAGAGGGTTTGACGTCACGGAATGTAAATAAAGCATCACCCCCCACCGATCGACTTATTGACATTGACACAGTATCGGAAACAGCCAAGCCCCGAGGCTCTGTGGTCTGGCTAACCAGGGGCTCTTCAAAAGAGGACGACTCTTCCTTCCCTCTCACAACCCTCTTGCCAGGAGACCGGTCATCCTCTTCCACAGCCATATCGTCTTCGCTGCTCGGTAACTTCTCAGTTGTGTCCGCTAGAATAATTGGCACACCAGGTGTTCCATGACAACAAGAGGATGCGTCACTGCTGACAATGTTAGCTGGCACAGACCCATCACTCTGGCCTCCTAGTGGCGCGTCAAAAGTTGAAGAGTACTCATCCGTTGCACTCACTCTAGGTGAAAGTGTGCGACGTTCTGTTGCAGGCACACGTTCGCTGCCCGTTGGCGATTGCTCAGCAAGGCCCCGCCCAGGTTTTCGCTTCTCAGTCTCGTCAGCACTAGTACCTGAAACATCTAGCAGCTCCTGGCAAGCACTTCCCTTGCTGGCGGTCGTCTCAGCCCGCCAAGCTTCAGAGAGAGTGGGCTTCTGTGTTTCCAGCTGCTGCCTGGAGGGAAAACCATTACCAGCCATCCTAACCCCACCGCCGTACTCGGCAGTTGACGCATCCTGGCGTGGGGAAGATTCTTCATAGTGGTGTGCATCATATGGCAGGCTCTGAGACACGTCTGGCCCACCCTCCCTCGATGACTGATTGGACATCATCCTGTCATCTTCTGGCTGCCTGATGCTCGATCCCTCGCCTTCATTGTGCTTAATATCATCTTGGTCCACGAGTCCATAGCATAAGTCCTCATCCTTCCCCTCGACCATGCCGGTTCCTGCTCCGTCATCCATGTAGTCCTCGAGTTCTGTACATGCCTCATCATGGACCTCTGTGTTCTTCGCTTTCGCCAACCGCAATTGCCTAACCTGTGAATCTTCCTGCATTCTAGTCTTTTGTATCTCCTCTTCCATGCTCTCGAATTCGATATGCTTTTCTACCATATTCTCTACTTCCTTCACAATATTCAGTTGCACCTCGTCCACATGTTCCTGGTTTTTCACTCCTGTTGAGTTACACGTCCTCTGCTGCTCTTCCTCCTGCAAGCCCTCACATGGCAGTTCTCTCTGCAAAACCTTACTGTCTTGCACCTCCTCAACCATGAGCACGCTTCCTTGCACTGCTGCCCCCAGCTTCTCACCATGCAATTTCATCTGAGTCCTTTCTCCTTCTTCTTTCTGATCCTTCTCATCTTCTTCCTTCTTTCTGGGCACTGCCATTCTCCCAGTTTGTGCACTTTCCTTTGCCTTGTTTGCAACATTCATCTCTTGCGCCTTGACAACTTTGTCCTTTTCATCTCCATTCACAACGGCGAAGTCTGGACCTTCACCATCATCCCTTGTATTCTGCTCGTCCTTATCATTGCATGCCACCTCTATCACTATCTTTGCTGCTCTCTCGCCTTCTCTCACACCACCCTCCAAGGCCACCTCTGGTTGATCTGCCCCAATTACCTGGCCGGTTCTGCACTGATGGTTGCTTGATGCACGTAACAGTTGATGAGAGTCGTCACTTGATTGCTGACGTTGGTCCTGCTGACGACCTTTCTCTCCGGACTCTAGCTGACCGGGTGCCTCCCTCTTCCCATGACTCTCCTGTTGCACATCCTGCTGTTGCACCTGCTGCTGTTGTCGATGCTTTTGTGTCTGCTGCAGCACTCCCTGATCCATTTGCACCCGATGCCGCTCTCCTGACTCCTCCAGCTGTTGCTGTTGCTGCTGCTGCTCCTGCTGCTGCTTCTGCTGCCACTGCTGCTCTTGTTGATGTTCCTGTTGTTGTATCTGATGTGCGTGCTGCTGCCGTTCTTTCTGTGCCGGCTGCTGCTGCTGCTGGGACGGCCGCCTCTCCTGAGCACTGGCAGGGTGCTGCTGCTGTTGCATCTGTGGTGACGGTTGCTGAGCCAAGTGCTGCTGGTGCTGATGCGATGCCTTTTCTTGAACCCTGCCAGAGGCCTGCTGCGAGTGCAACCCCTTTGAGCCAGAAGCCCTCTGCTGAGATTTGGAGTCCCCCCGTAGCCCTGCAGAGCGATCGCCACCTCGGCCAGCCACTTGGCCTGGGCTCTGCGCACCAGAACCCTTCACACCTCTGACAGAAGCCGAAGCGTTCACTGGCCGCGAGTGAGATGGTCCTCGAGGACTCTGCGTGGCGGATATCTCAGGGAAACCTGTCCTGTTTCCAAAGCCAGTGCCGTATCCAGCTGGATGACCAGAAGCTACCCCTGGGGACGTGCAAGGTGATGTGCTGGGAGGGGACACCGTCTGTGGCTTCGACGAAGTTGCTGCTTGTGTAGGGGTTGATGATTTCGCAGAACTCCATAGCGATGAGAATGCGTCGCCTAGTGTCCGAGGCTGGGTTGACCCCCCTGCTTTTGCGCCCCATGACGTTGTCTGGGGTCCACTGCCTCCTCCTGCCCTCGTTGTCTGGGGTCCACTGCCTCCCCCTGCCCTCGTTGTCTGGGGTCCACTGCCTCCTCCTG